TCTGGGGTGCTGTGTGTGTGTCTGGGGGTGCTGTGTGTGAGTTGGCTGTGTGTGTCTGGGGTATGGGTGCTGTGTGTGAGTTGGCTGTGTGTGTCTGGGGTATGTGTGTGTGTCTGGGGTGCTGTGTGTGTGTGTCTGGGGGTGCTGTTTGGGAATTAATTTTAAATATATATATTTTTTTTTATTAATAATTTTTTTTAAAGTTATGTCCCCCCCCCTCCCTTCTTACCTTTAGCCTGGGAGGGGGAGGGAGCCGTTCTGCCTGGGAGGGGGAGCCTTGAGGGGACCATGCTGCATTCCCTGGTGGTCCAGTGGTGAGAGTGAACTCTAACCTGCAGGTTAGAGTTCACTCTCGCGAGATCTGAGCGTTGCCGCGGCAACGCTCAGAATCTCGCGAGAGGACCCGGCGGAGCTGTTGGCTAGAGCTCCGCCGGTCCTCTCTCCCTCCCTCACCCAGCCGGCGGCCGCATCTCCCTGTCTGTGGGCCGGTGAGGGAGATCTTTGATCTCCCCACCGGCCCATGGAGGCACACAGCAGGGCCGGCGCTCGGATAGTGCTGGCCCTGCAGGGGCCGGCCGGGGAGATCCTGTGATCTCCCTGCCGGCCTCGGCCCCACGGCCATCGCGGCCCACCGGGCATTTGCCCGGTATGCCCGATGGCCAGTCCGGGCCTGATCCCCACTCAAGGATATACGGTGCTCCTCTTTTGTTCTTTAGCAGAGTACTTTGGTGGAGTAGTACAGCACGAGGTAAAAGGATAAAATATATTGTGCTTACTGTATAGTTGATAAAATGTAGAAACAGAATATATAGAGCAGACGTACTGCTCGGTGGATGGCATATGGGTGGTATAATCCCCACCTTAGGATTCTTGGTACTCCAATATGGACAAAAAGGTAGTAGTAGTCAGGTCTGAATAAAATAAACTTGCAAATAGTAAAATAATAAAATTATACTAAAAGAAAGTAATATAATTCTAAGGTGGAAAGAGGAATGTGGCAACCAAATGTATAATAGCCAAATATTCCTTTATTAACACTTAGATTATATAAAAAGTTCCTATACGCGTTTCGCCACAATAGGCGTCATCAAGTAGAAACTTATAAAAAGTAAAAAAACAGACTGAACATATAGCACTTATATAAGAAAACATAAAATTGCACAGATAAATTGAAATTCCTGCCAAAATGACGTCACCAGCGTCATCGGAGTGGACACAATTCAATAAAAATGTAGAAAATATAAAAAATCAATATGAGTGTTTAAAATATAGTATATAAGTCAGAAGCATTATTTGTACAAAAAATATTCAAAAATGAGGCTTTACAGTGTCAGAAATTATATAAATTATAACATCACGTGACGCGGAAGTAAACAAGAACGCGTCACTTGATGTTAGGTTAGGTAGGAGCCTCTGGGTGGAGTGTTATGATCAGAGAGGCAGGGTCTATATTCAGAAAATGATAGAGCAGAGTTGTAGAGCATCAGTTTAGGAACATACACTCCGCGAGTTCGAAACCCATCAGAGGTCACATATTACAACAGATAAACATAGGTGAATGCCATTAGAACAGAATGTAAACATAGATACAACTGTAATGTTAACCCCTTAACGCCGGAGGGCGTACTATTACGCCCTATTTTAAGCGGCTCTAAATGCAGCCGGGCGTAGTAGTACACCCTCTGGTTTTTTTGTACTTACCCGGGGAGCCCCCCGCGGCACATCCGACGTCCTGATGCCCCCCCCGGCCATGTGAGAGTGAGGTCCTTGCGAGGACCTCACAATCACTTGGCCGGGATAGCTGGCTTCTGTATTTCCAGCAGGGGGGCTGCCTGTAATGACAGGTGGTTAAAAGTGTAAAAAGAAAAATGATATACTTAGATTATATATATATATATATATATATATATATATATATATACATACACACATATACATACACACACACACACTGTCTAGGTGTATTTTACTATTAATATATATATATATATATATATATATATCAAATTACACGTAGACTGATACTGATTAAATATATAAAAATATATACTGATTACTGATTAAATATATAACCAGATAGTGTTGATGGACTGTAAACTGAAACAAGAGAAAACAGAATCAAGCAGGTTGGTTAGCCAATGAAATGTACTTTGAACAAACATGTAGATGCCCCATGTAGAAAGCAAATTTACCGTAAACTGCATAGATCCCAACCCTACTATGAAAAACAGACATGAGAACAAGTGACAGGTAGCAGAGACAACAAGCAGAGTTGCATACGTACCTGATGAACCCAAACTATTACAATTAAACAAGGGAGGGATAAGAATGGGTTTGAAATACTTGCCTCCTGTCATTAATAAAATTAAGATTATAGGTACACTAAAGCTAGCATAATCTACAATTTTATAACATGACAGGAGGCTTCGTATTTGCTTTTTTTTTAACGCTCAGCCAACAAATCCAACGCTGTTTGTTTCGCTGGTACCCATTCCGTGAATATAAGAGCAATCCTAAATGGACCCCCAACTGTGAGAAGCGACAGTAGATGGATCGATGAAGATGCCAGCTGGTGAAGCATCCCAAATACGGAAAAACACCATCCATTGATAGATCCATTGTACGTGGGGTTGCAACCTGTTCCCTAGCAGTCGGTCCATGAGCTGCCAAGTTGACCTATTAGCCATGTAAAGTGTCAAAGGCCATATGCGGACAAGGGCCGCAAGAAGAGACTGCCACCATGTCTCGACTCTTGATGTGGAAAGTGATTCCTCTGATCATGCCTTGGTCACCAGGCGATGTGGCCTTGCAGGCAAATCTCCAACCTTAGGCATGCGCTTAAGTCCACCGCCAATTCTTGAATAGAACCGAGTAGTGTCTATTCGTTCCTTTATGACCTACCCGGTGAATTGTCTCCTCCGAAAATAAATTTATTATGCAGATAAGAGTGTGGTCAATACTAGCCGTATCCTAAGTGACTCCAGTCTTCCAACTGGACTGCGTAATCCACGGCTGTGGTATAGAAAGGACACCCAAAGGACGTCCAATCAAGGTCTCAAACTGAACTTGTGTGGTGAAACAGTGGTCAACTATTCTGAGGATTGTGATTCCCGGAAAGTTCAAAAGGATGGGACCATAAACCGGGGTTGAGATTTCCATCCAAATATATCATCCTCTAAGAGTGCTAAGATGTCCGGATCCAATTGAGATTAGGATCTGTATAACACATATTCCGTGTTGTAGTGAGAGAGTGAAATACTCTGATTACCATTTGTACGATCCTGTTCCATGCCCGACCTGTCAGTATTCGTGTAGGGGTTCCTGGTCTACACGCCACCTACAAGATAGGGCATAATATAGTGAGACCCCTAGGTCCCTGTATCCTATACTGTCCAGGCAAGTATCTCCCAGGGTAGGTTTCCTTGATGGTAGTTGAATAGGAGGGCTAGTGAGAACCCAAACCAAGATGGTTCCCATGATGGATATAGAGTATAGAAGGAGGGCCCTCCATATCTGAACACTGTTCTCAAGATATGTGTTCAGAGGTGTAGGAGCAGTCCTGCCATCTTTATCTCATGATTGTAATGACCAGGGAAGCCAAGTCCTGAAAATTCTGGTTTCTCCATGCGATCCATGCATACGGTGCACCTGCAGACCGTTTGTGTGAATTCCCTAGTCTTGTTACCCGAGCAAGGCAGTGCCTGTTTGCCCTACGCAGGCCTCAGGATCTCATGTCACCTTGACATGGGAAAATTGTCTGCACAGTTTGTTTGCAATGAATATCTTAAACAGAGTGCAATTGTCTGTTTGATATAGCGCAGATTCTACCAAAACCTGTACTCTAGTAATAACTGAGGCTCCTCCTTATCCGTACTGTCTCCAGGAACGTGTGTATATAAGCGGGGAACCTCCCCCACTAATACCTCTGTGGGTATTTCTTGTGTGGAATACAAGATGGATCCAGTCAAAATATATATACCTTGCCTGATCAGGCAGCCCTATAAAACGAAATTGGTAGCACGGTCGTTATATTTAAATTGGATGTAGGAGGGACGCCCCTCTATGCAGTCATAGTTGTACTGTACATGTACAAGCCTCTGTGAGGAACAAATGGACTGGTTGTTCCAGTGATATAGTGTCCATAAAATCAAGCTCTGCTGAGCAATACCTTCTTTAAACTGCGAATTGGAATGCACATGTACATACAGATCTGTTTGAGATTTCTTATCTTTATTGTAGGTCATCATCATCATACCGCCTGACGGGTATTGTACTCATGGTCTCTTCAGGAGTAGGGCAAAAAAATTGCCAACTCAATAAATCTCCCCAAGAACCTGATAAAATTGAATAGTATCAGCATAGACAGGTCTCTGATATGTACCGTCAGTAAAACTCACAGTAATCTGTGATATCTATAGCCCTTAAGACTCACAGCAAGCTGTGCTATGTACACTGTCATAGAACTCACAGTAATCTGCGATATATCTACATGGAAACTCACAGTAATCTGTTGTTATATATAGAAACACATAGAATGTGACGGCAGATAAGAACCATTCGGCCCATCTAGTCTGCCCAATTTTCTAAATACTTTCATTAGTCCCTAGTCTTATCTTATAGTTAGGATAGCCTTATGCCTATCCCACGCATGCTTAAACTCCTTTTACTGTGTTAACCTCTACCACTTCAGCTGGAAGGCTATTCCATGCATCCACTACCCTCTCAGTAAAGTAATACTTCCTGATATTATTTTTAAACCTTTGTCCCTCTAATTTAAGACTATGTCCTCTTGTTGTGGTAGTTTTTCTTCTTTTAAATACACATGGAAACTCACAGTAATCTGTGATATATATACACATGGAAACTAACAGTAGTCTTTTTTATATATATATATATATATATATATATACTGCCCTAAAAAACTCACAGCAAGCTGTGATAAAAACACTGTAAAAGAGACTCACAGCAATTTGATCCTAACTGACATATCTGAGCAAATTATGGAGAACATGATTAAATCAGCCGGAGCAACCCGGCAAAGCAACAATAGCCGAGATCCGACCACCGTGGGCGGAGGAGGGGCTGCGAGCAGTTGCACCCTCCTCCACCCAGTCGGACGCCTGCGGCTTTTAGAAGGAACCGGTCACAGCGAGGTGGCCACGTGCGCCAGCGGATCCATCCGCCGGGTACTCGCGTCCGACCATGAGTACCCCGGATGCCGGTAAACTCACCAAGGAGCTCGGGGAATCAAATTGCAGCCAGATGGCTAGTCTCCTGATACCCCGAGGAAAGCACATGAAGCCTGGTTAGCATAGCTGGAATAAATAGCAGAAACATGTTAGAGAGTGGGGTTGGGGGGAGGGTGAAATCAAAGGGGAAGAAAACCGATAGGTATCCCCAGGAAAGAAAAAAAACTAAAACCAACACAATGTAAAGGAAAAATTCCCCAAAGAAAAACAGAGGAAGCAAAGAAATAAAAGAGCCAAAAAGGCACATAAATCTCACAACTAACCATAATTAAAAAAATCATAAATAAATCATACTAAATCCCAAAGCCACCCACCATAAGCAGGAGGCAGTGGTACTCTGACCTGTACTGACTGCGGAGCAGCAAAGAAAGAGAAAAAGATGTATGGGGAGGGGAGATTTATAGAACCTAACTTTTTTCTGATTGATTGTTTTCTGTGCTGCTGTGGAGTTCTAGTAAAGAGAGACTTAAGCAAATACGAAGCCTCCTACCATGTTATAAAATTGCCCACTCACTCATTTTCTCAGTCTAATCTCATTACCCTCTTTTCTAGTGAAATATTTGTATTTTGTTTTTCTAAATTTTTATTTGTATGTCCTATCTCTCTGCAAACATAGATGTTTTTCCCCCTCTGACTGCATTAATGGTGTGGCAATGCCTGCTACCATCCACTGGTACAGCCAGTTAATTGCTGGGGAACTACATTTACAATTTAGATGTCAGCTCCACACAAAGGATAGAAAGTGTGCAAAGGCAAATTCCACAACACACACAATGAACACATTCTATTCTTAACAAAAAAGTTACCACACAACAGCTATCACCATTACCAACATTACCACCACAACACCATCCATGTAGAATTTCATAACCATATCTAGATGATAGACTTGGAGATTAATCGCACAAGCCTGTACATAATCGGAGCAGTTCTTGATTCACAGTGACATTTCAAGAAACTGCTGTTGCTTTGGAAATTGCAAGCATCTCTCCTTACTAATATATACAGTGTGTGGCTGCAGTTTACTACACAGCTAATCTAAAATGTGTTGGTGGCATTAGTGGTTTTATTCATACATCTGTAATAAATAAATAGAATTACTCCATGTGCTGCCATTCCCCCATTTTCACAAATGCCTTTTATTCTCATTGTGGTGGTTTCGACCTGCCCAACTAGTCTTGTGGTGTGACTACACTTGCTACCTGAACAGGTGCAGCAGGGATAAACTGGTGGTGCACACTTGTTTCCACACTAAAGAGTGGTCACTGATGCTACAGAATGGATGTATGGAAAAGCTTTGTTTTTTGTCATGGTGGAAGCAGTGAGCAGATGGTCAACTGCCCCCCGAGGATTAAATAAATCTTTTAGTTAAAACTTGAAATTACTCTGGTTCCCCATTTTTCACTAACACAACGTAACAAATTAAAAATATTGCAGTAAATCAATATGAAGTTAAATTCTCTCAGTTGTATTTTTTAAAATTATTTTTTTAATATATATTATATATAATAATCTAATTTTGGCATTGCAAAAACGGCTGATATTGCATAGCTATTAGGCCAGGCAATAGTGTAGCCATTTTTGGACATCAACAAAGTCATAGGCAACATTTTTCCAGCTGCTATGGCTGTCCTAGTGGCCTTCCCAAATGTCCTAGTAGCCTTCCCAAACAGTGACATGAAATAAATTCTGCCAAAGTCTCCACAAAAACTATAGAGACAACATTTGGTAAAAAAAAGTTGAATACCAATATTTACTAAAGTTAATTCCAGACAGAATTTGCAGAATTTGGCCAATGTAACTGAATCTGCTCCAGTCACATGCATTCTATGCTTTAAGCATTTGAACAATATAAAAAGTATAGGATTCAGAATATGTACAAAGCACCAATTTTAAACCTAATCCCAACTAAGTACAGCCAGCATTAAGTTAATTCCCCAATTGTATTCACTTGCTTTTAGGCAAGTGAACAATAATTTGAAAGAGCTAGTTTCCCACTGGCAGTGCTAGAAGTCAGCATGCCAATAGGTAGCAAATAAAACCTTGGCTGGCCTAGGAAACATAGCAAATATTAAATTCTAACACAACAATGGTGGCAAGCATTGTGTTAACATCACTCCCCAGCTCTTTCCCATGCCAACAAGCATGCATCTCTATTAAAGCAAGTGTGATGGAATTCCTGTAAAATAGAAGTTTAGTAGGCCAAGATTGCCACGTGGCATATGTAGGTACATGTGTTTGTAGGATCAGTTAGTTAGTTACACGTAGCTAAGATACTGTAATCAATGTACTGAGCATGTGCAGGAATGCAGGAACTGAAATCACACTCCTTTCTCCTCTGTTTCGGATGAGCCATGTAGTCTGACCGGATGAGCAAGTCCAGACTCTGTTCATTGATTGGTTAAGAGTATGTGTGGGTGTAGCTATTTATGGGAGGAGCTATATTGCTATATAAGGAATGTACTCCATGTGTTCGGGGCTCAGATCTGTTGTGAAACATTAGTCCATCTGAGACCCGATTGGTATGTGAATAAAGGCCTCTTACTTCCTGAATACCTGTGTCCATCTCTCTGTGTTTGGCTTCTGCACACTTCCACGGTTACACAAGCACTGCTTCAAACATACTAAATTGTCTTAATATAACCCTGCCTGCCCTCCAAAATTTCAGATCTCCTCAAATGTTGACTCTCTCCAGTACCTATACATTGCATTCAATCATATGTGTAGATCTATTAATGCAGGCACCACCTAAACGATCAGGTACCAATCTTAATATGATTAAAACTGGCCCCCCAGACCCAGTTGCGGATCCAGCAGGGGAGCACCAGTGCCATTGCTACACTGAGCTGCACGACAGCAGCCCATTTTAAAAATGTTTCCCTTTCTCTGGATCTGTAACAGAATAGCTGCTGCCAAGTGTAAATTATTGGAAGCATAGTTTAACAGCACTTGTTCTCCTTCTCATGATACACGCTATTGCTCCTCTGCAGCTGTCATTCGAACCAGTTACAAGAAATCCGCTAGGAATATATAATGTGACCGTTATAACCCTGCACAAACTCCTGTAAATTCTTCTGGCTGCACATAAAATGTTCCACAGCGCTCTCACTGCTGCCATCTCCAAAGTTAATGAGAGAGTCTGGAGGCACAGTTGTGAGCAGATAAAGTAGGTTATCTTACAATCCTGTCCTACCACTTACTTTTGTTTTTTGTTGGTATTTTTAAATGCAAACTGTGTACACTGGGAGGTTGTTAGGCCAGGTAGGTGCTTTTTGGTATAAGTTATTGACTAGTGAAACTAATAGGCACGTTTCTTTCCATATTATTACCCACACTGCCCTGACCCAACATCTCATTCTCTTCTCTGCTTCAATTACAAATACACTCCCGCTGTGCTTTCAGCCCATTTTAATTTAAAAATAATCTTTTGGTGACATCTTGTAGCGTAACTCTGTTTAGTTTAAAAAAGGCATGCACTATTTATTTTACTCGTCAATAGGACAATGTATATGTATGTATGGGCTTGTCCATATATTTTGGAGTGTCATAAAGACATATTACATTTCATATTTGAAAACATCTCAAATGAGACAGATAAATCCAACTGTCTAGCCTGGGGCCCCACCAGTTTAAATGTCACAAAATTCCATTCTAATAAATAAAGATAGGATACATTACTTTAATTTGCACAAAAAAAATGTTTATTATACATATTTAAAGATTAGTTTTAATCTGCATTAGAAAGTGGATTAATATGACGTTTCATTTAAGCAGAAAAAAAAAATTAACAGATCGGAATCATTTGAATCATGAGAAAATGTAATCAAAAGCAAATATATAGCACATATATGCTTCCAAAGAGTTCTGCCAGCTATCAACTTTGGTGTCTCTGTAATACAAAATACAATATAATCAGCACTAAATAATATTAACAGTTGTGCAACTACAAGGATATAGTGAGTATTATATTAACCTATTTAACACATTTAATTGTTAAATGTTACACTACACAATAAAAGCATGGCTGCTTCATGCATATTCCAGTTACAAATGAATTGCTTTAGACTATAAGTATACAATGAATATAACATAACATATAAATACAATATTATAAAAAAAAAAAAAAAACATATTAAGATATTCATTAGTACTACTATATAGTGTGTGCTCATTACAGACTGGGTTACCTACTTTTTGCGTTCTATTAAAACTGGAATTTGCGCTATATGTCAGTTCAAACGTAATTCACCTCTTTCATTTTAAGTGCACCCACACTTATTATATATCATTTTGTTCAGGAGAAACAGTGCTTTAATTTCTCATGAACTATTCATATATGAAACATAATTTATTATGAATAAAATCAAAAAAACTGTGAGACTTTTTTTTTTTTTTAATTTGTAGTTCCACCTCACATTTTAGCTGTAAATGTCATAAAACTGTTAGCTTTTACTGCATAAAAAGCACATATCTGGATTCGGCAAAGTCTCATGAGTACAAAAGTAGCCCCCATTAACAGTTTTTACAGTGTTTTGGGAAGTTAAAGGGTCAAATATAGCACGTTCCATTTTTTGTTTTTTCAACTTGAAATTTGCCAGATTAGTAATGTTACATTTGAGGCCATGTGGTAGCCCAGGAATGAGATTACCCCCATGGTGGCATACCAAATATCCTCAATAAGTATGGTGCACATATCATCAAATACCTTCATTTTATTGACGATATTTTAATAATCTGGAACGGAGATGATCAATCGCTCATGCAAATGATGTCTTCATTAAATGCATTGGACTCCCCAGTCAAAATCACCTTTCAATGGAGCAAAACACAAATAGCCTTTTTGGATCCTCAGATCTTGATTGAAGGAAATCGATTAGGCTGTACTTTATATTCCAAGGACATTGACCGTAATACCATCCTCCATGCCTCCAGCTTCCATCCAAGAAGATTGAAAGAATCCTTGCCCATCTCTCAGT